GCAGAGCTGCTCTCCAGCAGGTCCGCCCCAAGCCTGTACTGATGCATGGGGTTGTTCCTCCCCAGGTGCAGGACCCTGCACTTGCCTTTGTTGAATTTCATCAGGTTCCTCTCTGCCCAGCTCTCCAGCCTGTCCAGGTCTCGCTGAACGGCAGCACAGCCTGCCGGTGTATTTACCACTCCTCCCAGTTTTAGAGTGCACCAGTGTCCACCTGCTTAGAGTTAAAATGGGGGTTAATCAAGAAATAAATGAGTGGTATGTGACCCATGCCAAAGGGCAGACTAAATGAGGGAGCTGCAAAACAGCTTTGGACACAGTGTTGTGGTGTCATGCCAAACAGCGGCGGTGGGCCGCAAAATGAAAACAGGAGCAGAAAAGCCAGGCAAAAGAACTCCCGGGAGAAAGAAATTCAGGAAAATTGTGAAATGTAAAATCCTGTGAAAAGGAGGGATTATCTACTCTAGCGTTTTACTTCAGCTTGAATTAGGAGTGCAGATCTTATAGTCATTCTCACTCACCATACCTCCGTTGCATCCGTGAGATAGCAGTGGATATTTTGGATAGCGATGACACGGAAGACGCAGCTCCGAGTGCATCCCAGCAGCTAATGGTTAATGGCCATGGGGCCAGCACTGCGCCGGAGGGAGGGCCCTGCCGGGAGTAGAGGGGTTGTGCTGGGCTCTGGGCACCAGCTGCCTGCTCTCCGGATCCGCTCCTATTGTGCTGCACGTTTTGCTAATGGAAATACAGCCCAAGGCTGCCAAGAGCAGCACCGGGCACTGTCATGCATTTGAGTTACGCTAAGAGTGATAAGGTATAGCAGTTCGATGTTTAAAAAAGAAATACCTGCTGCTAAAATCTTACAATCCTGAAATTATGCCCAAGCGTTCCAGCCCCTGAAGTTTGAGAGCTGTCACATCCGGTCCTGAGACTTGCTTATGCTCCATCCCATCCTCTTCCTTTCTAACTACGAAGAACAGTTGCTAATGTCTGATTTCTGCCTTCAGCTGTCTCTGGTGTTGTTCACTGTTGACTTTGTAGAGGGGTTACTCAAAGTGCCAGGGGATCTGTGTGAATGCCTGGTGAGCACTGAGCAGTGCTACAGGATGACTCGAACCTGGGGAGCCGAGTGACCTAGGAGGCACGTATGCCCCAGCTCAGCGTTCCCAGTGTTAATATCAATTATGGAGAGCTTGTTGACATTTAATCTGTGCGTTTGACAGCTGGGATCAGTGGCACAGGGAGTGGGGAACTCTAAGGATTCTGTAATCAGTTTTTCTCGGGGCGGCAGCTGCGGCGCGGCTGAGCTCTGCGCGTGGATCAGATGGCAGCTTTGGCCACGGGGAAGAATCCAGCCCCCTGCGGAACATGGCAGGCACCAAAGTGTGGACATGCGCAGGGCAGCTGGCAGCACACTGCTCCTTGCTGTCCTCGGTGGGAGCACTCGGAGCCAGGCAGAAGGAAATTGGGCTGAAGTAACTCTACACGTACGGAGGGGTGCCAAGCACCAGGCGAGAGCAACCTCGAGTAGCATTGGCATCACCTAGCAGGGCTTTGGCACTGGCCTGGCCAATGCTAATGAGTACAAGAAAGTATTGGCTGATTTCAAGGAGGTTTTAAGTATATAAGTATATAAGTTAAAAGACTACAAGCCCTCCACAATTTTTCTGATGTGCAAAGGAATGAGACCTATCAATAATGTGTTTTGCCTGTGGCTCTGCACCCATCCCAGTCCTTGGGGTGGGCATGAAGATATTTCAGTGAGATAACCACCCTCTAAACATCCCTGTCTTAGAAAAGGATTAATTCTTCGTCTGCATGACACAGCACAAAGTTTGCTGCATTGCAGACACCACGTGGCTGGGAACAAGCGCATGTGCATACACACGCACACTCTCTCTCACAAAATATCGCTCGGGACTGGAGGAATTTCCCCAGTAGCTGATGCTTCCCTAAACCCTCCACCTAGATCTTCCCTTTAGATCTATTTGCCCTGTCAGTTTTTATATGGTGTAGTTGTCAGTTCATGGCTCTGTCATTTTGAATTGGGTTTGATCTTCTTTTTTTCTTTCACTCCATTAATTATTTGAGCAGTTGTCAATTATGTGCAACCGCTGGGCACGTTCATCAGATCACATCGTTTCTCTCTGCGCTTGACGTGGCACATGTGTGCCATACCCGTACTGCGGCTTATCGCTTTCATAACCACTGCACCTTTTGAATGCAAACAGTTGATGTTCATGGCCTTAATTCTGTTCACTTAAACACTGCGATGCCACCAATGCTAAGACAGTTGCACCGAAGGAATTAATTAGAAGCAGAAAGTAATGAGTGACCTCCCTGTTTCAGTTGGTGTGGGCAGGGCGAGTGCCCCTAGGAGGGAGCAACCAAGGGTGGGAGGAGCAGGGAAATCAACAGCTGAACTGCCTTACAAATAAGCAGAATACATAACCGAAACTCTTCCCCTTTGTGTTCAACCTTCATCCTTTGTATTTAGGCTTCACTGGATTTCACCGATGCAGTCATGCATCCCGGTGGTATCCTTCAGCGTCCCATGGAGCAGGGGAGACTGCAAAAGCAGCGTGGGGTGGGCTACTCTGCCTACAGGCGCTTTTTCTGTGCTTCCCTCTCAGTCTCATTAGTGCATCCAGGCATACGTGTTTCGCAGGCAGAATAGCTGAGTTAGTGGCACTGGTGAAGTCTACAAGAATCTGTGTGCGCTTCATGGCTAAGGGCTATGCCCCAGTAATCCTGTAGGATAATAATGTAAACATTATTAAATACATATTATTTGTATAAGCAGCCCCAGGAAACCCTGAGAGTCTGGCTGTGAGCAGGGTGAAAGCAAAGCTACCTCAAGAGTCCACCTGGATTTGCAGGGTAAGACAGGAATCCTGCGCAGCCGTCTGCCTGTCCTGTCGGGTCCACTCACTTCAATCACGGGTAGACCTCTTAGTCAGAGCCGTCAGTGTCACTCTGAGAACATTCAACCTGAAACCCATCCAGGACAGCCTTTCCGTAGGACCTGTCAGGTCGCCTGAGGGCTTACAAGGAGGTGGTCTGGGGATACTGCCGAGTAGCATTGCTTTTGCTCCAGCGCCCAAGGTCAAGAGCACTGCAGGAGGCTGAACGTTTCTCCACCTTATGCAATTGATGTCCCACTGTGGGCTGTTAAATTTGTAGCAGATTAGCTTGCCAGTGAACTTCTATGGTTTTACACCCTTAAAATAATTATAATAAAATAATAATATATTAAAAATAATAATAATTAAAAAAGAAATCTTGCTTGCCACTGAATTTGTTGGGGTTTTGAAGAGTAATGTTCCAGCATCCAACGTTTAGACTCTGCATGCTTTCTCTGTTAGGTAAGGAAGATAATCCTGATAAGGTTGTTTATCTTAGAATTTTAGGGGTTGGGAGAAAAGCCCACTGGCCTATAAGATAATATGGGTAAAAATATAAATTCCATTTCATGTTTAGACTCAGCCAGCGGAACATACAACACAGTCACTGAGCTGAAAAAGGGCGTTTTACAGAACTAAGAAACAGAGAAATATGAAGAATCAAATTGTGATTCATTTTTTTGCAAAATCTGTACTTATAAAAACCGTTTTGAAGAAACATACTAAAATATCTGAAGCCTATAGTATGCGCTATTTAAGACCTCTTAACATTGTGCAGGAATATTTTTATAAATGACAGGTCCTAATTTGTTTTTTCATTAGTGATATCTGAACGTGTAACTTTGTTTCATAACCTTAGTGAAATATTGCATTTTATATATATAAATCTTCTATAGTATATATATTCTATATACAAATATATTTATATAAATTAAAAATATTTTAAAACTTGTGTAGTATTCCTGTAATGAATTCTAAGATCTTGTGTGTCACTTAACTGTTATGTTAAACTACTTCGGTTTTCTCTCTTCTCTAGCCAGAAAGATTCAACATCCCTCCCCCAAAAAATAGAAGAAAACAGCCCATTAAAAAAACTTATTTATTTATTTATTTTAAATACTTTTTCTAAAAAAATATGTAATTTCTGAAGGGGAGGGGGGGGAAATCTGCTTGCCGTTCAAGAGCAAGAGGAGCGTTAGTAATTACTTAATGGTTGCAACATGCCTTTCCCTTAGAACATTTTATCCCTTTTAATGAGGAGATGAACACTGAAAGGGATGGCAAAGTTCTTACCATCCTCCAGAGAAGCTTTCACCCTTGCTTTCTTGCCCAGCATCACGCTGTGAGTCAGTGTCACAGCTGGGCTTTGTACCCAGGAATTCCAGGCTCTTCATCCAAAGAGAAGACCCTTGCATCACACAGTCCTCCTCTGTGTGTTGTTTTCCTGACCAGCCACCGCAATCCCCAGCCAGCTAACGCCCAGCTGAAGAACACAGCCCTTCCTCGTTTCATGCTGTCTATTCTGGGCAGGGTGGGAAGCGCGTGAGAAAAAGGCTTGGAGGCGATGTCCCTAACACGGCCTGACACCTCTTCGTCCTGCGATTGTGCTGGTTCCTCCACCAGTTTAGAAACGCTCTCTAGAAACACTGTTGCTTCCCTTTCTGAAAATAGATGGATGAGTCACTTTTATCCTACTGGAGCAGAGTCTTGGCAGAGAGCACAATTTAAGGGATATAATAAACAGCAGAACAGCTGAACAGGGAATATTCCCCCCACCCATCGCTGTCGGACGCAGTGTCCTGAGGGATGGTCCTGAGGAAGGGATCCCCTTTTCCATGACTCTTTCTGCATCTACCAGACCTGAGCTCCCTGCCCTTGGGAAGAGTAGGTGGTCATGCCCTGTGGAAAGATGGGGTGCACTGCACTTGTCCTTGTGTTCCTATGAGCTTCCCCAGTTTCCCCAACCCAGCTCAGCCCCTTAGGCAGTCACCTTTTATTCACCTTCATCATTTCACACGGCAGCTGGTAATGCCACCTGCAACATACCTACGAAGAACCCGCTGTTGCAGCTATTGTCAGGGGCTTGCATTGCAGGTTTCTTCTCTTTCTGCCTAACAGTCCAAGAAAACCTGCTTGTAATGCTTCAGAACAGAATTTGAGGCTATTTCCCTGCTTTGACCTAATGTGCACTGTTGAGTTATAAGGTGTAGTCCTTTTTATATGGCCCTATATGCATGTAAAGTGTTTTAAAGCCACAGACTGGATCATGAAGCCGGATCAGCCTCCGTAAATTCAGAGTAGTGAGCTCTGTTTGCTGGCAACAGGAGATTGTACTTGTTTTGGAAGGGCTCCGTCAGAGCGGGGTCCTCTCCCCAGCAGCCTCGGGTCCCTGCTGCGCCGGGAACTGGGGATTGGGAACTGGTCTCCACGATGTGCACAATTTGATGTCATTAGGTTACTTGGGCTCACCTGACACAGATCAGGCTGACACTCGCAAGAATCATTTCAGCCAACACCACCAGGAAAATTAAGGGTGTGTTTCTTAGGAAGAAAAAAAAGAAAATCATACGAAAAGTATGGAGACACCCTCAGCTGTCTCTATAAACAAACTGATTGACTCTTGGCAGGGAGGTGAAGGGAATGCCTGGAACTGCGACGGACATCAGTACTGGGCTGCAGCTCGTATTTTGGCTGTTTTCTTTCTGTGGTGGATTGATCTCTTACGGTAGCTTGCATGGAGAGCGGGAAGCCTACAGGGCAGGACAACCATCTCCTGGCTCCTCTTCCTGCCAAAAATGGGTCTGAAGTCCGATTTCCAGCTTACATTTTCATGGGATCTACCTTATATCTACAGAACTGCAAAATGTGTCTATTTTTCTCCTGTTTGTTTCACATCACCTCTTCTTCCCTGATCCAGTCCCAAAAGAAGCAGGGTGTGCTCCTACGCATGAGAGCAGTTGTGGCTGGAGAGGAAAATAAGGACACGAGTGAAAATAAAGAGTAGAGTCCCCCAAAACACACAGAGCATAAAGTTCTGTTTACAGTAGGTTTGACAGGGACATGTGCTTTGCACTGCATCAACTGCAGCACCAGGGAAAGTGGTGGCCTCTTGTTTGCAAAACATCGACATTCAAATGATCTGTCTCCCTTCCATGCAAAATTGACTTTCCTTTTACGTAATGCGTGTGTCTCAGGTTCCTTCTGTGGTGGCCTTGGCTTCGTGCGGGAAAAGAGAGTAGAAATTCAGGGATACTGCTGGGCACGCTTGCTCGAAGGGAACAGAGAAGCTCTGTAATTTTAGTGGAGTTTCCTGGTGGCTTGGGGCTGGACTATAGAGGTCCTGCTATTCCTGCTTCCCCCTGCTCTTGCTGACTGGTTCCACAAAGGTGCATTTCTGCTTTGTGTCCATCCTCTGCGCACATACAGATTTGTCTTCTCTTCCCCTGTGGCCAAATCACATTTAAAGTAATTGCCTGGTAGTAGAATCTTTTCTCCTCTGCTTTGAGTAGGAAGGCAGCTGAAAGACGCGAGCAAGCAGCTCGAAGAACCTCAAGTGCTTATGAAAATGCTTGGACTTCAAATGCAAAGAAAAGCTTATTCTTTGATAATGACATTTTATCTGGTGCACGACATTAATGCCACCACACTACTGGTGTATCTGAAATTAGTATTAGTCTATGCAACGAGACCTCAGGGGTGAGTAAGATAACGTGGGGAAAGTAATCTAGTGTGAGAATTGATCTGTCTTACTCTAGGCAAATTTATTTGTGCCTCCCAGTTTTCTTCACACTGAAGGCGTAAAAACTCTGTGACAGGAAAGAAAGCTTCAGAAAAAGAACTGATGTTTTGTATGAAAAATACCCTAAGTCAGGCTGTAAGAAATGGAATTGCTTTTTCACAGACATCTGCTCTAACAAGCTGTACAAAAGAAGGATTTGGGGCAATATTTGCCATCTGTTAAGCAGGGTATTTTATTTGTGTGTGTAATGCTCAAACCCATTGCGCGCGGTGTGCTCAGATAGCCTGCCTAAGATTAGGGCGATGACCCTGCGCGTGCTGGTGGCGACAAACGTCTCGCTTGTGACTTGGCAGGAGAACCTGGCAGCGCCGCAGCCGCCTGAGCAGCCGGGGCCGGTGGGAGAGGGGGCCCCAGCCACCAGCACGGACAGCGGCGGAGAGGTAAGGTGAAGCCATGGACCCAACTCCCTCGCAGTCCCCGGGCTCTCGGGGGCTCTTTCTGGCTGACTGGTTTTCCCCGGGACAGTCTCCCCTTTGCTCTCTGTGATCGTCGACCTGCTGCACATGGAGCCCATCGGGATTCCCATTTTTCAGGAGTTATTTGACGAAACCTGAGCTCATGGGTGCTCACTTTCGCCACTTCCTTTTTCAGGTTCAAGAATTTGCCGCGAGCGACAGATCAGACAGACTAAACTGCTGCTTGATTCGGGCGTGTAAACGCACGTGTGCTAGTTAATGTTATCCTGTGGGTTTGTCATCACGTGGAATAGCTTTTACCTGGTTGCAGCCATGCTTTAGAAGACCTTTAGCTGACAAGTTAGTTTTTTCTCTATAGATTTTTAGATAACAAGCTAGATTTTTCTGTAGATTTTTCTATATTTAAGTTAGTTCTTTTAATTGTTTGATCTAGTCTTCTGGCAATGTCCTTCTGAAGCCCTGGATCAAACATCTGTTTCTGGGAGGATGACCTTTTATTGCCCAACATGAAATTTCCTTTACGATTCCGGTGCTAAGTTCTTTGGCTGCCCACCCTGCAAGGCCCGCAGTGCTGCGTGCACCCCTACTCTACGGTTTCCAGCATCTCTGAAGTTCAGACTGTTGTCACCATGCCTGAAGCTCTCAAAAGTCTCGGCTTGCACCTACCAGCCAGCCGTGGCCCCTCTGGTGCCAGTCCCAGCACTTCTGCGTCCCTAAAACGAACCCCGCTAATCCGACTGACTTCATGGCTGCCCAAGTGCCGATGTCCAGCTGCGCGTCAGGGCGGGAGGCAGAGCCGGCAGCAGAAGGCAGGACCCTCCTGCCGCTGCCAGCCCAGCCCCGCGTTAGCTCGACCTCAGCCCCGTGCGAC